TTTTATCCTATTTTTCTTCAAAATTCAAGCTATTACTCTTGCCCTGATTGCAATCTTTATAAAATTTTATGTAAACTCGGATCCAATTTTTCAGAAAAACAATATACAAATAAGCGCACAGGAAAAATTCCGAGAGACGCATACCAAAGCTTTACTCATGACTTTCTCTGGAAAGGTTAGATTATGAGGACTCTTCTTGTTTTTGCAGTCCATACTTTCTGAGTCTTTTATAATAAGCACTGATTATTTGTGCAATAAACTTAAGTAACTCTATGTAAAAGTAAGATATGGATTCTTTTTGTACCTTTAAACTTCTAATTCATTTTCAGCCAATGGACTAATGGCTCTGCATGACGTTCCTTTCTGTGCATGGACAAAAAAGCTTAAAGATGCGTAAAGAGTTGCAAAATTGTCATGCGGGGCACCGAATTTCCAACCCTGGGAGAAAAGAGTGATTGTTATGTCATCCAGCTGCCTGCAGAGCAAAGGACACACTGTCTTTCTGGCTCAGGCCACTGGATTTTCACTGCCAAGTCCCCTTCTCTAATTCTCGCATTTGATTATCTCTCTGGTTCTCATGGTGCCTTCAAATCAGACACAGCCCCCTGGTATACAGGTCTACGGGCTTCCCTAACATGTGGACGAGTGAGAAAATGCCATACGATTTCTGCTTCCCGGTGCCACTGCCTTCGAGAGGAGGAGTGCAAATGGAAACAGGCGCCCACTGACCAGCTCCCACGGCGATGACAGATGCCACTGAACCTTCCTCACAAGGACACGTACTTTGTCTCGCATTCCCCACAAGAGTGATGGGGTGCACTCAGTCATTCGTACACCTTTTCCTACCCTAAGACACGCAAAAATGCTTCTAAACATTATTTGAAAATGAGTGGCTCCGTGTAAGATGCTCCTTGTGTTTGCGAGACCAAAGTGAATTGAACCAAGATGGAGCCTATGACTCTGACCCCATTTGCTCCTCACCCAGGACCACGACGGGGTCCTATGATCATTTCTGAGACATCTTCTACACTTCCGGTTTTTTCTGGGTGATAAAAGTCAAGGGCGTTCTTGCATCTTTAGCCACATGCACCTCACTTGTGCTTTTTCTTCTTTAATCCCAGCTATGGCACTGCCCCTTCCTTCCTTTCAAAAGCACTCATACCTCCATCACCTCCATTAATAAAACCCAATCAGTTTTTTCCATTTCTTAATGTTAAGAAATAACACACTAGAAGTTTCTACTCCCCAGTGCTTCCTCTAAAACTATTGACTTTCTAAAACTATTCTCCTAAATATGTCATGGTACAATTTAATGAAGTCTGAGTGAGTGAATAACACACTTAGCTTTCTACGCATACCTATAAAAGTAAATATAGTTCGTTCAAGCACACACAGATCACAAAACAAGCCTAACTAAAAAGGGATTTCTATTTCATTCATATTTCCCCCCCCATCACCCTTTCATGCATCATCAATTAAAACCTTTCCTCTTGGCAGGATCACACTGAGTGAAGTGAATGAAGAGGAGAAAGTAAATGGGACAAGACACAGCCAAACTGTATAAAATACAGCAGGACCCTAAAGCACCGACACCGACATTCACGAGAACGTGCCCGGGATCTCCTCAGATCCCGCGTTCCCGGGAAGGGGGCATTCCTCCCTTGGGAGGAATGTGTGGCTGGCACTCTCGGGGAGATTTCTGGCAAAGCAAACACTGCAAGGGTCTCTTCCATTAAAGGCCACTTCTCTCTCTTTGACCCACTCCCGTGAGCCTCTCCTCTGAGGGGGCCCCCCCCAGGGTCCCCACACAGTGTTGGAAAGTGGTGACAGACTCCTCGGGCAGTCCACGGCTGGTCCCCATGCTGCCACTGTGTGGCCTTAGGTCCCCCAGCCACTGTGTGGGCCACACAGTTTTCTTATCTGCTGACAGGCTGGACCTGAGAATCTTCATTCCTGTCCCACCGTCTGCTGGGAGGCGCTGAGCCCCGGAGGACTGCAGGCGGGTGGGGCCTCCAGGTAGGGACCAGGGCGAGGCTTTCTTACTCGGAGAATCGCTCCATCACTCAAGCACCTTCCTCACAGTCATCTCTGCTCCGGTTTCCTGCAGTTTTACCTTTGTCCTGCAGCAAGGCCTCCGCTTGGGCCCCACCCAACCATTCCCTCGGGCAGAATCCTGAGGACTAATCTGGAGCGAATGCCTCAGATTCCTCCCTAAAGACTGCACCTACCGAGCAAAGAAGCAAAGCCCCTTTGTGCCAATTGTTTCCAGGCACTTCCTGTTATTTAATGCTCAGGATCCCTCCAGTGTCCTCACACAACCCCACCCTGCACGTACTCAGTTCCTCTGCACTATAGGTTGGAAACTGCTAGAGACCACCCACCTCCTCCTTCAACCACAGGAAGCAGATGAAGCCAAAATGAAACCTACAGGTCAAGTCCAGCCTAGCACCCCTAGAAACAAGGGGCTTCAGGAGCTGTGTTATCACCTGTCATCTCAGAGGGTCCTTTGGACACTAGACACCTAACAGAAGCACAGAAGAACGGAAGTGTCCACGCACCCTCCAGGGCTGAGGGTGCCCCGACCCAGGGACTGGGTGAGGGGCCGGGAGACTCCACGTGTCCTGAGGCTGAGCACAGCAAGCTGTCCTGGCCCAAGGCCTCTGAATGGGACTTACAGTCACCAGACTGTATCCTCCGTCCAGGGGTCCTTTGCTCACCAAGCAATCTCACTATGATTTAACCACCCGCACAATCCTATAGGAGGAGAATGTACAGACTATCGTCCACCTGTTGCTAAGTAATAAACAGGCACCCAGGTTGGAGTGTTTGGTCCCCAAGAGAGGGCGCCCCTCACTGCGTGCTCTCACATGAGGTTCTGAGTCTGCAAATCCGGGAGACCAGGTCCTGACTCCCAGACAGGGGAAGCCACGTGGCCACCTCAAACCCCCCAACATGGACCGTAGTGATTCACTAGAATAATGCCACCGAGTGAGGCATTATTAAATTCACCAAGTGAGGAGGAAGGGAGCTTAGCAACATGCTCAGGACACCCAGAGGTAGTTCAGCACCTCGCACATCCTGATGTTCCCTGTTAATGCAGAGCTTACAGTTAGAGAAGTGAAGACTCATTTTGTACTGTGATAAGCGGCACCCATACAGCACATACCATTAGTGTTCTCAAGGTCTTACAATCCATTCCTTCTCTTAGCTTGAAAAAAAAAAGCCCCCTTGCCTCTAAAGTATGCTATACACTTTACCCTTTGCATAAACCTCAAGTTCGGTCCCGCCTGAATTATTGCAACATTATTTTCCGCAAGCCCTCACACCTGTACACTGTGAGTGTACACAGAACTTTCACATCTATCCTATCACTTGGTCCTTACAATTCATTAGGATGGGCACTGCTGTCCTCGTTTACGTTTGAAGGAACTGGGATGGAGGGACATCCTTGGCATTGCCAAGTTCACAGAGTTAGTGAATTGCAGAGCAGGGCTCACACCCTCCTGCTAGTCTGTGTTATATCGTCCGAACTGTACATGATTTACTATCCCGCTTCTCTAAAGAATCAGAATGTAAGGAGTTAACTTTTCTAAAAGAGTTTAACTTAAATATAGAAACTGCTAACTTGTCAGGCCCGGAATCACAGTGTAGAGAAGTCCCAGGCTCGAGATGTCTCCAGTGCCGTGGCAATCTGACCACAAGGTACTGTAGCTGCAGTTGCTGGGAGCCAAGCGTGATCTCCCCTCCTCAGAAAAGGCGCACTCCCCGAAAACTCAACCACAAGCCCATTTACATTCTCACTGTCCCTGGGGCCGACCACCTCCAGAACCCCGCCAAGGGACGCCCAGGGAGGCATCTGTGTGTGTGGCCTTCGGAGCCAAGGGAGACACTCCCTGGCCAATGGCACAGCCCGTGCTGCATTCTGGCAAGGGCCCGTTGTGACTGGAGTGCCACAGTCAGATGACATAAGGACTTAGCAACCTCTCCCGTTGCCACATAATGCTCTTTGGGGACATTCGGAGGCCAACTGCATGGGGAGAGAAGAAGGAATCAGATAAAATAGTGAGTGATCGGAGTAGATGGGTAGGGGGTGGGAAGCGAATGACTCCAAGTCACTCCCTGCAGCTGGAGACACTGTATAACAGCACCAGCATTTCCCAAGGTGTATTAATTAATAGGTTTGCATTAAAAAAAATAGACTGGGGAGAGTATGCAGAGATCAAAGGTCATAGTCTCCCCAAATTCAGGTCGTCAGAACTTGGAATGCTTTTTCTGTGCAGTACCTATGAACATTTGGGAAATCGGTTTCTAGCCGGGAAGTTTGGAAGACACCACTGCTAGTCCCTCAGCGAGTCTCTAAGACTTCCTTCAAGCTTCCCATTCCCGTGGCACAGGAACCCTTGAGACTTATCCACCAAACCAGATGGCCTGTGCTCTGCACGCAGCCAGCCTCCTGAACCTGCTCAGCCCCAGCTCCAAGTCCAAGTTTAGAGCAGCCGCCCTCTGGCTGAGCAAAGGCAGTGCCAGGGGCTCACCCAAGTCTAGCTGGAATCAGGCTGGGCTCAAACAGCCCAAGGGTGACGTGTGGCCTGCTAGAGGGATTTATAAAAAGACAGACCTACGAGGTAAAAATTTAAAAAATTTAAAGACAGCATTTTTAACACTGCTCATCTGTCCTCTCTGCACATTCCATCTGTTGCCGGTGGCCTTGCGGGCGGACTGTCAACCTTGGAAACACACCTGCCCGTGCCCCCTGTGGCTCTCCTCGTGTCTTTCCCGCTTCGCCTCCTGCTCCTTTTTTCGGTCCTACATGTGGGCCCTGGTCCTGGGCCAGCACCCAGGGGTGTCCAGCCACATCCTCTGCCTCAGCGGAGCTTTAGACTCTGGCTGCAGGAGGACGCAGGGGGGGGGGGGGAAGCCGTGACAAGGGAGAGGAGGATGCTGGGGTCCCAATTTTCACAGGAAACAGGGCCCGCCCTGCCACTCGGCCCGGCACCTACCTGACACTCCACATCGCAGTAAAATGCCTGCTTGCATCTTCCACACTTGGACAATCCTTCTTTCCTTAAAAACAGAAAGGGCGCTGTAGTGGCGAGAGGCACAGACACGCGAAGCTGCACATTTTTATCGCGCGATAATCGAAGCCATCTGGTCGGAAAGCAGAGCCAAGATCCCTCTTACCTTCCTCTCCCACTGGTGAGTGGCATTTTCCCAAAGGAGGTTTTGACCAGATTCAGCCCTCGAGGAGGAGTGAGCTGGTCAAACAGCACACACTCTGCCATTCCCCGACCCTGACAGAGTGAAGGGCACTCTCCAAAACAGAGAGCGACGTGCTCTTGGACTCGTGCACCTGGCTTGGGACACACGGCTGTCAACATCACCTGCACTATTACTCAGTAGTCTGGGGCAAGTCAAAGGCCCTTAGGTCCTGATGTCCTCACCTGCTAAAGAGGGACAGACATGAAACCACTTCGGAGGCGTCACTTGATAAAGACGGAGGACGGGGGTACATTGGAAACTGCAATGTGAGTGGCAGCTTCATTATTCAGAGACACCAGTAAAACAGGAGATAAAATTGAGTATGTCAGTGATTCCAATGTCCAGGAAGCTAAGTCTGAGACTAATGAGACCCAGCGGTGGAGACACGCCCTCAACGAAACGTGATTGGATGTGACTGGTCCATACACCCACCTTCTCAATGTGCTTCCGAGCGATTCTTCTGCCTCCTCCTAATTCGGGCGACGCTCCCCGCGCCCCACCGTACCCTTTGCTGCCCACAGAGGACAGAGATAGTGTAGCTTTCTGACCGCCACGTGTGCGTGTGTTTGTGGTGTTAGCTAAGCCACAGCTTTTTAAAACACGGGGAAGCTGCTGAATTAAACCACACATGACAGAACTCTTAAAGGATTGTTTGGAGGTGGGGAACAACCACATCATTCCAATCAGACCACTGTCTGTGGCGTGTCCTGTCTAATTCTCAGTCACGGCCCTGAAGGCAGCTTGCTGACCCGTGGCTTTGCTGACACCATGTGGGCCTTCTGCCACCGCCAGGGGAGCCGCGCTGAGCAGAGTCACCTTGTCGCCCCCGCCCCCACCCCACCGCCCCCGGAGGAGCTGGTGTTTTAGCATGTGCACAGAATCACACTGCAGAAGCCTCCTCTGGTCCTTGTCAGCCAGTGGCAGTCCCCACACTACTCCCACGGAATCCAGAGCGCGTGCCAAAAATGCTACTGTTGGAACGGAACAGGCTGCCTCACTGTTTTCGTGACAGCACTTGGATCCCAAGGAGCTGCCCGAAGAATGAGTGGGAGAAAAGCACATCTTGCAGCTGAGGCATAAATAAACATTCCAGGTTTGCACATCTCAATAGTTCATGAAGGAACCCACCCACGGATGCAGCCGAGGGTATTCTCTGGCCTCAAATACCCTCAAGGCGATAACTCAGGCCTTCACACGCTGACTTTGCTTCTGGGAATATAAAACCAATGAGACTCGTGGTCCTTGCTCACTTGCACTAATGAGGGAAAAAGGACAGAGGTGTCCTCAAAGACAACCCCCAAAGGGACATGTAAGCAAGGGCTCTGTGATGAGGGCCCTGAATAAATGCCGAGGGGAGAGAGAGTAAAGATGGGCAAAGCCAGGGAGGAAAATTTCAAAGTTCTTTCCAAAAAGAAGTGTGTTTGCAAATGGATAAGGGGTGGGTCGATGCCACCCCGTAAAAATGGCTGAAGTCATTTGTCCATGTTTGTCTATGCCAGGGTGGGGTCCCAGAATCTCTGTAAGTCTGACCAAAGCTACTCATTCTTCCCACCAACCCACCTTCTCCCCACCCCCAGAAAGCGGAAAATTCTGTCAAGTTTCAAGGGCTCGCGAACTCGGAGCCCCAGAAGAGCCTCTAAAAATGCCCTGAAAGAAAAGATGGGGAAATTATCACAAAAATATCTTCATTAACTCTACACTGTACAGAAAAATCAAGGATTACACAGGTCTTATAGGGGCCAGCAGTGACGTCATCATGAAACAGGCCTTGTTTGCAGCTTCCAGGTACCAACCGCCCCAGGGAGGGGAGAGCCAGCCGGGACCTGGGGACCTAGGGAGGGCCTCCGTGGGACGCCGTCGAAGTCATAACTCTCCCAGAGGCCAGGCTTCTCAGCACAGCCAGCCACCACGTCCACAGCCACACACCGCAGGGAAAAAGGCTAACTTTTACGTGTTGGCAATGTGTGACGTCATTTCCACTACGGATCTCAGCGGTTCTCCGGTTGTGGTCTGCAGACTGCTGGGGTCCCGAACACCCTTTCAGGGAGTTGGGGAGGTCCAAACCATTTTCGAAATAATACTATGGTCTTGACCTGGGTCTCAGCACCAAACTGCCCCAGGGGTCACTGTGGTCTCTACTTCCACACAGGATGTCCCCGGAGGAAGCAGTAACAATATTAATTTTATCACATCTCGGATCTACACTGTACTATCTTTCTGACATTTGCCATGAGAGAATGGGGGGGGACGACATGATGGCTGCCTCAGGGAAAAGCCTTTGGGGGTCCCTGGAGTCACCAACTGAACCGGCTGCTTTTTCTTGCATTTTTACTTAACGTTAAAGCAACTGTGGTTGCTCAACCTTGAGTATCTGGAAGGTCTGTGATTTAAAGGGATGAAGTGAGCCTATCACTTCAAGGAAGACAGTATTGCCAGTATTTGTTGCCGATGGTAAAAACGGGGCTTTCCAGCAAAAACTAGAATTTTGGAACACATGGGTCTGCCATCCTGAGCTTGACGGTCTCTGATCTGATGAGATTATAGTCGTGATTGTCTTCATCTGATTTTATGAAGCAAGTCAGCTTTTAGAAGGGCCGTCTACTTTCTTGAACCAATATTTTCTGAATGTTCAGTGTCTGGGCCAAAACAGTTATTCAAAGTACCAGACAGACCAGGGGATTTTAATGTGGCAGAGAACACACAGTTCACAGACACGGCTTCAGGTTGCACATGACAACCAGCCTTTAAGATAACACCACTGACAGAGCTTTAGTGCTGAATCAAGGAATATCAACAATTAACTGATAAGACTATTAAAATACCCCTCCCTTTCCAATTACATATCTAATTGAGGGCGGACTGTCTCCATGTACTTCAGCCCAAATTACATAATGCCCCAGACTGCGTTCAGAAGCATATTTTCGAATCCAGCTGTCTTCTGGAAATCCAGACATTAAAGGGATTTGCAAAACTGTAAAACAATACCACTATTCACTAATTCTTTTGTTTTGGAAAATAGTTCTAAAAAAAAATGTCAACAGTAATGGTTGTTGCCTAAATGAAGGCCATAATTTTTGCAGTTTTCATTTCAAATATGGTAAACATTGATAAATATAACCCATGTGAGCAAAAGCTCTTTGACACGCTCAAATTTTAAGAGTACAGAGAGATCTAAGACCCGAAAGTCTGAAAATGGCTTAGCTATCTTAATAATTCCATCGGCTCCATGAAGAAGATTTCTATTTTTCAAATGAAGATAATGAGGAACCCCAAGGTGAAGAAATACCCACCCCAACGCGGTCATTCACGAGTTCGGTAGCAGAATCCGAATTCACGCATCTGGGTGCATATTGTGTCTTCATCACGCACAAATCTCTTTCCTTGAGCAGTCAGACAATTATCCAGGAGCACATACTACACAAAGCAAAATCGGTCTATGTGTTTGGATGAGCCGACAGCAGTAATGAGGCCTAAGTAAAGGCATCCTTTACTCTGGTCTGCATTACACCCCAGCTCCAATGGTGTGTCCCGCTGATGTTACTTCAAAGATGCAAAGGGGAAAGATCCAGGATCATTTTTCAAAATGGGATTTGGGGAGGGAACACTTCCACGAAGAGGGTCCCCTCAACTATGACACGGGAATGGATTTCACTTGGCGTGGGTTGGAGTAAAATACAGACTGATTCGGTAGTTAGTACAGAGAAGGTCCCTGCCTGTCACTCAGTATGCGTGGTGCATCTAACTGCTCCTCGGACAGCCACTGGGCGAGTCCACACCAGATCGCATCCCCTGAGAACCCAGTGACAGAACACGGAAGCTGTCAGGCTGACTTCACTGTATGTTTGCTTCTGGAGTCTGCTACCTGGTTATCTGTGAACGTTCTTAGATCCCTGGGAGCCGGGCTGCCTCCTGAGTGCAGAAGGAGAAACAGTGACCAGTTACTGATCCTGGACAGCAAAAGGGTCTACTCTGATTGGCTCTGGTATGCTCAATTCCAGCTGAAGTGGGGAGGGATTGGTGGAGGACTGCTGTTGAACTTATCCCGACGTGTGCTTTGGCTCTTTTCACAGTCAGGGAAAGGATGTCGACTTTTTGTAAGTCTACTCTTAGGTTGAGACTCAAACTAAAATTTACTGAGCTGGTTCCTGCATTGCGTGTGCATGTGCCAGGGAGAGAGAGGAGGAGAGAGAAAGACACCCTGCGTTTGACTATTGCTCACTGAGGAGTTCAGCCGGAGAGAAACTTCATACGGGGTATCTGCTTTCACCGGAGGCGTATACAAGGCATTTGGCATAAACTCTGTTCCTACAGAAGACGCAGCCGTAAATCTTTCATTTGCCGTGTAACTTGATCAGAATTGTCTAGGTTTGGGGAAAGACTGCAAAACAAAGGAAATAAAATTCTCCTCAAAGAAAAGATCCATAAAGGTCACTGGCAGGAATGGACTGAAATGTGAAACAACCCCAAAGGAACGGAACTCAAAGACAGTGAAGGTTGAGTCTCTAGTAACCTCTCAGGGAGCCTCAACCTTGGCGGCCCTTGCCCTTCGGGGCTGGGGTAGGGCCCAGCCGGTCCCATCTGATTGGTTTGTATGAGGATCTTTAGAGAGTTCCCCACGAGATTCCGATGTGCTTGCAGAGTGCCTAGGCCCGCCGTCATCCATTGGGCTGTCGTGCCTCTCAGGGGCAGAATTTGTTCACATGTGGAAGCACCCTTCCCTGCAATGCAGATTTTTTTTTGTTTTTATAATGTAACCTGTCTCAGCAATGAATGACACACAGCAGGTGGACTATGAGGTTGTTTGG